CATTACTGGGACCCTAAGTGATCATTGTCCCCAGGGTTCCCTCCCCACTTCACCCATATTTTACTTTAAACTACCCTACATCGGCCGTTTTTCTGTCGTCACTCAAAACAGGATTCGTCACCTTATCAAGCGCTATTGCAATGATTTGGATATCAAACTAGTTTTTTCCTCCTTTAAGATTGGCAACATGTCTGGCGTGAAGGACCCTGTCCCTGGCGGGCTTCGTTCGCGTGTGGTTTACAAGTTTGCATGTGCGGGCTGTAATGCCTGTTATGTCGGCGAAACGGCCCGGCATTTTTCCACACGCGTGCGTGAGCACTTAGTCAGTGATAGGGCCTCTCACGTTTTCAAACATCTACAGAATTCTGAACATTGTCGCGCCTTGTGTTCAGTAGATTGTTTCCATATCTTAGATCACGCATCTACGAGTTTCCAACTCAAGATAAAAGAAGCTATTCACATTCAAAGAGAACAACCTCCTTTGAATCGACAATTACATCATGTAAATCTAAAGCTATCCTTATAATTTTGACATTGCCACGTTTCCTGTTGTTACTAGCTTAATTAGCATGTACTTATAAATTCAACTTGTAACGCTTTGTTAATCAAATGAAGATGAAAGAGGTTTCTGTCGAAACATGTCTTTTAAACTCAAAAGTTTTGTTGTTTTCTTCAAATTTCTGACTTGCCTGCTGACATCAAGATCGATTGTTTCGTTGATATTAAGCACTCAGTTAGGATCACATTTGAATCTTATGTTTCTTTACTATCTCGCGCAAACTTAGGATTACCTTTGAATCTTATGTTTCGTTACTATCTCACGCAAGCTTTGGACTACATTTCAACCTTATGTTTCGTTAGTATCTAAGGCACACTTAGGATTACATTTTCATGGATTGTTTTGTTATTATCTCGCGCACACTCAGGATTACATTTCAATTGATGCTTTCGTTACTATCTTGTTTACAAAAACAATCACATTTTAATCCATTGTTTTGGTAGTATGTCGTGCGCAATAAAGATTACAATTTAATTCATTGTTTTGTTAGTACCTTGCGCACACATAGAATTGCATTTTAATCGATTGTTTTGTTAGTATCTTGCGCGCAGATAGCATTACATTCCGATCGTTTGTTTCGTTAGTATCTAGCGCACACTAAGATTACATTTGAATCTTATGTTTCGTTAGTATCTTGTGCATACTTAGAATTTCATATCAATCGATTCTTTCGTTAATATCTTACGCGCTCTTAAGATTACATTTAAATCATGTTTTGTTTGTATCTTTCGCACATTTTGGATTTCATAACCATCGATTGTTTCGTTGGTATCTTGCGCACACTTAACTTACATTTCAATCGATTGTTTCGTCAGTAACTTACGCACACTAAGGATTCCATTTCAATCGATTGTTTGGTTAGTATTTTCCACACATATACCATTGCACTTTAATGAATTCTTTTGTTAGAATCTCGCGTACAAATAGGATTCCATTTCAATCGATTGTTTCGTTAGTATCTTCCACACACATACGATTACATTTTAATGGTTCTTTTGTTAGTATCTCGCGCACACATAGGATTACATCTCAATCGATTGTTTTGTTAGTAACTTACGCAAACTAAGGATTCCATTTCAATCGATTATTTCGTTAGTATCTTCCGCACACATACCATTACATTTTAATGGATTCTTTTGTTATTATTTCGCGCACATATAGGATTACATTTTAATCGATTGTTCTGTTAGTATGTCGCGCACACTAAGGACTACATTTTCATCGTTTATTTTGTTAGTATCTCGCGCACACTTAGGATTACACTGGAATCGTATTTTCCGTTAGTATCTCGTCCACACTTAGGATTGCATTTTAATCTATTGTTTGATTACTATAGAGCGCACACTAAGGTTTACAATTAAATCGATCGTTTATATCAAGCCCTCAGTTAGGATTACACTTGAATCTTATGTTTCGTTGCTATTTCGCGGAAACTTTGGACTACATTCAATCTTATGTTTCGTTAACATCTAAGGCACACTTAAGATTACGTTTGAATCTTAATATTTTGTTAATAAATAACCGACACTAACGATTACATTTCAATATTATGTTTAGGTAGTATCTCACACACACTTAGTATCATGCGCACACTTAGGATTACATATTAATCCATTGTTTTGTCACTATCTTGCGCACACTTAAGGTTACATTTCTTTCGTTATTTTCGTTAGGTTGTAGCGAACATTTAGGAATACTTTTCATTCGATTGTTTTGTTTGCATGTAGCGCACCCTTAGGATTACATTTCAATTGATTTTTTGTTAGTATCTAGCTAACACTTACATTACATTTCAATCGATTATTACTTTAGTATGTAGCGCAGACTAGAGATTACATTTCGATTTTTATTTGTTAGCATCTCGCGCAATCTTAGGATTACAATTCAATCGACTGTTTCGTTAGTAACTTGCGCATACTTAGTATTTCATTTCATTGGATTGTTTTGTTATTATCTACCGCACCCTTAGGATTACATTTTAATCGACTGATTTGTTAGTATCTAGAGAGGACTTAATTATATTTTAATCGATTGTTTCGTTAGTATCTCGCGCACATTCAGGATTCCATTTCAATCGATTGTCTCGTTAGTATATAACGCAATCTTACGATTACATTTGAATCGATTGTTTCGTTAGTAACCTGCGCACACTTAGATTATATTTCAATAAATTGTTTTTTTAGTATCTCGCGCACACTTGGGATTACATTTCAATCGATTGTTTCATTAGTATCTCGGTCACACTCGGGATTACATTTTAATCGATTGCATCGTTAGTATCTCGTGGACACAAAAGATTACCTTGTAATTGATTGTTTTGTAAGTATGTCGCGCACACTAGGGATCACATCTTAATCGATTGTTTCGTTAGTATCTCGCGCACACGTACGATTACGTTTTAATCGATTGCTTTGTTCGTATCTCGCGCACACTTAGGATTACATTTCAATGGATTGTTTTGTTAGTATCTCCTGCGCACTTAGGATTATATTTCCAATTTCAATGGATTGTTTCGTTGATATCTGGCGCTCAGTTAGGAATACATTTGAATGTTATGTTTTATTAGTATCTCATGGACACATTGGATTACATTTCAATGGATTGTTTGTTAGTATCTCGCGTACACATAGGATTACATTTTAATATATTGTTTGGTTACTGTCTAGCGCATACTAAGGATTAGATTTCAATCGATGGTTTCGTTAATATCTAGCGTACACTTAAGATTACATTTTAATGGTATGTTTCTTCAGTATCTCGCGCACACTTAGGATTAGAATTACAGTGTCCAGCGCTCGCTAAGGATTACATTTAATTTGATATTTTTGTTAGTGTCTCACGCACGCTACGGGTTTTACTACCAATTGTTTTCTCGGTATCCTGTGCACTTTTAAAGAACATATTTCATTTGATTATGTTGTTAGTATCTCGCACGCCTTAAGGACTAAATTTTATTCGTTTGTTTTGTTGGCATCTCGCGTACTCTAAAGACTAGTATTTATTCGATTTTTTGTTAGTATGAAGCACACTCTTTTAGGATTAAATTTTATTTGTTTGTTTCGTTCGTATCTTAGTACACTCTAAGGATTACATTTATTCGATTTCATCGTTATTAATCGTTAATACTATTCCATTTTATTTCCAAATTTTGTTACTTTCTCGCGCATGCAAAGGATTGTATTGCAATTGATGTTAACATTTAACAAATGGTAAACACCACAGCGTACACTATTGAGTTATGGATGCACGCGGGAGGTTGCTAAGCACGAAAGAAGCGTAAGAGTCGCTCTCGGCTATCGCCTCGAGCGACTCTAGCTTCTTGCGTGCTTAGCAAACCTCCCAAGTGCATCCATAACTCAATAGTGTACGCTGTGGTGTTTACCATTTGTTTTATAACATATCATTGATACATTGTAGCTAAAGAGTTCCCTTTTATTTAACAAATCTTACGTGACCAGAAAAAACAAGCGCGCGCGGAAAAATAGTCTTTGCATTTGCTCACGTCAGCAGTGTACACCCATGGGAAAATGGGGGGCGCTAAATTGACCAATCAGAGCTCGCGCTTTACTTTGGTTATGTTATAACAATATGTTAAGCACTTTTACATCTCTTTTTTAGTCGTTTCTTTGTAAAGATTTCCTGTTCCATTAGGGTTGCACTATATTCACAAGTTTCGTTATTATCTCGCGTCCTCTTAGGGTTACATTTCTTCCGATTGTTTCGTCATCATCTCGCACGCTCTAAGGATTTCAATCCTGTACGAGAAAAAATGTAGCACAAAGGAGCAAATTATCTGTCGAATTTAAAACTTCTTTGTCAAATCTCTGCTGGTGAACAATTGCTTCTTTGAAAACTGAATGTATCGATGTTTACTGATGTTAACGTGCATTGTAATTTGAAGCCGACATTTGCATGTGATCACAGGTTAGAATGTTTTACGTCCTATTTATATCCTAAAGAGAAACCAAATTGCTTAGGTGTAGATGTTGCGTTTTACTGTTAGAACCCACCATTTATTTACTAATCGGGTTTCATAATCACTTTTTGATATTGCAGCAATCATAGCAGTGAAATCACGCTTAGTTAGAGGTTCGAACTTCGGTTCATTACTTATAGTGAAGGGTCAAGCTAGAAAAAATGTTGTTTGGTTTTGATCAAATTTTCGTATTTTATCTTCTCGAACTTTTCGCTTCTGAGTTGCGTTTAATCAAAATTATAGAAAACAAAAGCCTTCCTATGCAAAACGTGTTTTTTCGTGCGTATAGCGCGTGTAGCGCACGCAGTTATAAAGCCGATAGTTCTTCCAGAGTAAAGGATTTTTCTGTTAAGTCACATGTTATATTTTTCTATATTGCCATGAATTATATGGTGCAATTACCTGTCCAATCGTCAAATCTTTTTCTCCAGATTATTACTTAGTAGGTGAACTTTTGTTTCTTAGAAGGCTGCAGCAATTCAGGAATTATTAGTAATGTCAACGTGGATTGATCACTGCAAGATGATTGTGTTGTGATTACAGGTAAGAAAGCAATGCATCCCATTTGTGTATTTTCAAAGAAATCGTTTGTTTAGTGTTGAAAGTTCTTTCGTTAGGTCTTTAAATAGCTTTTCGTCTACAAAATTAAGAATGGCAGAGCCAGAAAACGAAACATGTTTTTTCCAATAACAAGAATAAATTTCATGCTACTCAACGATGTGAAAAAAAGAGAAACCAAATACAGAAAAATAGTGACGTTTATATTCATAAACCCTCTAATCGGGGGTGTACTTTTCATGCGATTTGATATGATGAATTCTTATAGTGCATTCAAACTGGTTTGAGGATATCGTATTAATTAATTGCCAGTCAAACAAAACAGAATTAGGTGAGTTGACGCATTCGTATTTTTCGGGTTACTTCAGATTTCCAAAGGAAGCGAAGAAGAGAAAAAAGGCCTGCGGAAGTATCAACGTGGAGAGGAAGGAGAAATTTGGAAGGAAATTTCACTCTCTCTTGTAAGACGTTTACGCTACTCTGATAGATTTGACGTTGTCAGTATCGAGCTTCTAACAGTAGTTTGTGTCGAGATCAATTTAGGTCACACAAAATGGCCGGTTTGTTGCCTAAAAATTAAACCATTTATGATTAATTATTAATGATATTAAATTTGTCAAGCTCTAGCGTAGGTGAGGGCACGATAAAAAAAAGATGAGTGCCCAGAATACACAAACATATAAATAAAAAAAGGAGAAGGAAGGGAGGGGGAGAGTCAAATTTTCCGCGAGTGTCAGGTCTGAGGACAAGTAGGACGAACTCGCGAAAGATGCCACGTCTTGTAGTGATCACTGAAGACTAAATTTTCCATCATAACTCGTGACTCTTGCGCAAAGAACATTCTATTGTTATTAAAGTCACCAGATATTCTTGTGATTATTTCTCAATCAGTTCCGGATGCTATGAGCCTGATCCCCTAAACTTTGACCCCTTAGCACTCCCTGCCTTTCCTCATTGACTCAGTATCTTTGTTAAAACATGATATTAACAATATAACAAAGTTAGGAAAGGGAAAATCAATTTATTTTCAAACGTAAATAATTTGGTCGACAGATGTCTGACTTAATATACATGCGTATGAGAAGATGTCGATACCACAAGGATGACAACTTTTACAAAGTTACACACGCATTTCGTCTCCAAGTATAATAGTCAGATAGTTGTCCTTTCTTTTCTTTCTTGGGGTGGCCAGTCTTCATGAAACCTGTGAAGAGATGAAGAAAGAACTTCGAATGCGTCAGTATGATATTATGATACACACTATAGCATTACTACGCATGCTTGTTAAACTGCGATAATTCTTAGACAGTTCCTATTACATACAAAAGCAAACATAGAATTCGTCTTATTCAAGAGTAGCATATGGCAACACTAACTAAATAACAAATACACTCGTCTCCATTTACCCTCTTTAAGGAATCATAACCTTTGCGGTTGCTAGAAAATGAAATGGACGCAATTCTTACTTGTATCAGTTGAAGATATTAAATTTACTTTCGTGAACATGCTGTCTGGTTATTTATTCACGTCCACGTTGGGTCTAATTCTTGAAATGATTCCTTAGAACGCAATTATGCAGTGTGCTCTTGTGGGGAAGACGGAGCCCGTTGCGCAATGAGACCAACTAACAGCTACGAAGCAAAGAGTGTGGTGAGGAAGGCAAAATTCAATCGGATTCGCATCATGATATTTTCAGCTGTCTTGTGTGAGAGGTTATTGACGTGCTTTACATGTAGAGGGAAACTTCTAGTATCCTTTGATTAGAAAAATCATAGTTTTAAGGCGGGAGAAGTCACACATGGAATCCGTTAAAGGAGAAAAAATGGCAGTGAGGATAATAAAGTCAAACAATAAAATGCAAAAACAGTTCAGTGAAAACATCGGCTAAAAATTTGAGCTGGATTTATCCCAAATATGCTCTGTTACGCTCCCAGACCAGCAGACCCTTAAATGATTGGTTCAAGTTCAAAACGAGTTTTTCGGGGTCAGCGATCGAAGGCGCAATCAAAGTGCCTGGCAGCCACTACAATCATAAAATTATTTTATTTGATGTTTCTTTGTTGTACGGAACTTTTTTCTTTTCGTTAAATTCTCAGAGATATATCTAACTCTTTTATTATCTCAGTAAATTTCATGACGTAAAGAAATTAGTTGAGCCCGCTGGCATAGTCAGTGGATCATCAGTTTTCATCTCACCTAGTTGTCAAAAAACGTAATTTTGTCTCACTACATTTCAGAAGAGTTTGTAGCGCTGTGTGATCAACGGCTCTTTAGCAATCGTGTGGTCTTAGGTTCGAAATCCCTTGCAACAAAAATTTTCTCTTTTCTTCGTTTCCTTTTTCTTTCTTTACGATTACCTTTTTGAGTACAGGAAAGAATTTACCAATGCTCACCTTAATAAGAAAATATCAGTACTACAGCCTTGCTCTCCTTCTCTAATTCGTTGAATGTTCTATTTTTTTTAAATTTTTGTTTAATTCATTCTCCGCCCTCTCCACACGATAAGGTCTCTGAATAAGGGACAAGTGCTCATAGATTGACACTAAACATGTTAAATTTGACCGTTCAAGAAATTCATAAATGACACACACGTATTGCACTTGCTTCGCACTTCCGTTAACTCGTGTGGAAAACGCGACGTGGCCACGTGTGTGGTTGATAAGGGTTACATAAATAGCTGGCCAGGAGTCAAATTTGGTCTATAGCATGAACGTGTTGATCACATTATGGGAGTTGTAATAGCTATAACTGACTTGATCATCAACAGACCAATGCACGATGGGAAGCTGACGCGTAATTATAGGGTGAAGATCTTTCATGCAGCCAGTGCTCATCAAAATTGATATTTTTGTATTTAAAAAAATCTCTCCCGTATCCACGAGTTAAAAACGGCTGAGATCTGGGGTCAGTGTACTGATATCGGGATCGACAAAGTTTTAAGGAATAATGGATTTCGAAAACTCGTCTGAAAATTCTGATGCAATCTTTCCTAATAAAAACTATAGAATTTCAAATAAGCTTTTAATATTCATCCACCACCCCTTTCTTTTTGGTCATTTTGTTGTTTTTTTTTTTGTTAAGAATCAATCTTAATCCTAATCCTTGGGATAATTGCGTATCTTGGTACGCGATCCGGCTGGACTATCACTGATGGATATCTAACTTTACCCGTGTTTTCTTCCCATATACGCCTTCTTTTCATTTAAACATTCCTTCTGTGAGGAAATGACAGCGCGATCACTTTTCTCACCATTCTCGCTTACGCTCGCGGTATGGGGAATCAACGATACCTTTTATCATTTTTTGCTTTAAAATCTTGCATTCCTTTATAAGATTGTGAAAGAATAAGTTTGATTTCTCCTAGTGATATTTATTTTATTCTTTTAAGGAAAACCTCTTCATATTTACGTTATTTTTATAATAGGTTCCCTTTAGTAGAAAAAACTTGTGTGAACGAATCTTACTCCGTCATGTTTTATTCATCTATTACTTTGGTTCACAAATGAGGCTTTCTTTTCCCAATGCAATTACGCCTGATTTATTATTCCTTTTTTGCAAGCACGAATTCGTCACACATTCATCGATGGGCGTGCAAACATATCTCTACGCCTAATCAGTGACGTATCAGCCAATTATTGGCTGCAGTTGTTAATCCATATTCATCAGAATATGTAAAATTTTCAGCAAACCACGCCGTCCGTCGGCGAGTGAAGAGGTGCCGTCCGTTGTGCCGAAGATAAAGTTGTACTCTGGAAGAGTGAAGGCGCTGGACCAAGAAAGAAGAGCAACGACATCCAGTCTTCCGTTACTACAACCGAAGGTGAGCATTTCCTTTTTATATTATTGCCTTAAAATTAGCAAAAAGCCAAACGAGTCGTATCATCTCAATTGAACGTGTTAACACGTGTCGGTTTCTTGGTGTGAGGGGCAAGTCAAGTCGGAGTTCGAATGAATAAGGGTGTTGGCTTCGAGAAGAGCAGAACCTACGATTAAAGAAAATGTTTTGAGAAAGGTTTTTATCTTTTGTACGCCGCTAAATGAAAGATGTTAACAATAAAATTTCTTTTATGACTTCATTCTGTAGTTGAATGAAGCCACGTGGATTTGTGGCGACCCGTCCACAAAATAGTTTGGCGGGCTTTCCTCCATAGCGAATTATATTTCGAAACTTTTGGTGCTTATCCTTTTCACCAATTGTTTTAAAGAGCAAATAAATGGTGAATGATTTAAAATCAGAAAGTATCACTACCTGATCACATTCATAACTTATATTCTCAGGAGAAGCAATTAAAGATGTCAGAAGAATGGAAGGATAAAGATTGCGGTCAAGAAAAGACATTGGAATCACTGAATGTTTAGTGGAATACTGCAAAGATAAGAACTTTAAAATTATTGTGTAATAGTAGCAAAAATGGTAGCTCTCTAAACGTTTTTTTATTGTAAGAAGACTTAGTTCTTTTACCAATTGTCACGTGATGGAAAAAACTGGAGTACATGGTAGTTGAATACTGTTGTATTAGCCACCATTTTTTGGAAGCAGTTATGATATGGATTGCTATGCAAACCCTTGAGCGGTCGTACGATCTAGTTGAACTTCTAGCGGGGATTTGGTGTAATTTTATCAGATTATCTCGTCACATCGAGTTAACCAAAGTAACAATTGGAAGTTTATAGAAACCTGGATACAGAGAGGTGGAGCTAGAATTTTTGATTCGAAGAAATGATCGCTCATTTTTGTTGTTTGCTTTGCAATTGTATCGCAGCTGTATTTCGGTTGATGTCGCACAAAGGTGATATTTTTTTAGATGGCACTTAAACTAAGCACCAAATGGAATTCAAAATTGGAATATTTTGATAAGTTGGCATTCGTCAGAAATCACATGGCAGAACACCAGCGACTTACAACAAGACTACATTATTGACCAGAACGCTGCTCTATGTTGGTCCAATATTACATGAACTATCTCCAACGACGGACTTTTAAAACTGGTTAACCGACTTAGAAAAAACTCCTCGACAGATGACAACAGCTACTGCACTTTACCAGAGGCTTAAAAAAAAAAAGAGCCAGCAAGGCCACCGACAGATCAAACAGAATAAACAAACCCGACCCTACCGACTGACCTAAACTGACTGATCAACACACGAATTCTAGTCGAGTCTGATAGCCAATTGACTTCAGTACCAACTAATCAAACTAATCAGACTAATCAGTGATTTTCGACCTATCAAGAACAATCCTTTTTGGGACTACTCTCAATAGACAGTCGGACAAACACGACTGAATACAAAATGCTACCAAGAAAAACTGGTCACAAATACCGATTTAACTGAAATTTAGGAATTTCTGTTTAGAAAAGGAAGCATTTTTTCCATTTATGAAGCAAAAAG